TTAAAAAAAAATTCCAAACATTTTATAGTGAATTGTTACTGCGTTGGGTCAGTATATTGTTTGTGAAATTCAAATGTTTTTCTTTGGTTTTAATCAGTCTCTTGGTAAGTCTATAAGTAATATAATTTTATCCTATATCAAGTATCTGCCTCCTAAAGAGTAGTAACTTTTTGTAAACAGAATATATACAGGCAACAGTGTTAGCTCTTATTCCAGGAAATATATTACTAACACATTTTATTTTGTTTAGTGTCAGAAATTTGGAGAATATCACAAAGATGATCCAAGTTCCTTCAGATTTTCAGAAACTTTCTCCCTTTATCCACAGGTAAGTAGATAAAAGGTCCATATTGTTTTCTTCTGTTGTCAACAGCATTGGGTCTAATTTTTCCTGTTGTCTTTTATTCCTTATCTTATACAACCCATATTATTGGGTTATTCTTTTGGTTAGGTACGTTTTGGGATAGCTAAGAAATTAATATTGTGCTATGGGTATTTGGTGAGAAGTATATAGTATTTTTGGCCTTGCAAATAGTCATTTATTTGTGGTGAAAAGAGATTTACACTAAAACCCTATAGTGGGTAGAATTAGGTATAAGGCTGATTAACTTTTCTCTGATATAAGGGAATCTGATTACAGTGGTATCAAAAGGATTTCTTCTGAGGTAATTTTACCAATTATACCTAGTCTTGCAGCATGGTATCATCCCCTGAGAACAATTTTATGAGGCCATACCAGGTAAATAGAAAAGAAACTAATTTGATTTATCTTACAGAATATTTTTCACTTGGAGGAGTGGAATCTATCCCTCTTTCTTGATTCGACAGATATTTTTAAAAGTCTATAGAGTGCTGTGTGCAAGGAAGATAAAGATGACTGACATGGATCCCACTTACAAGGGGCTTTCTCAGTCTGAAGTGTGAGACCTGAAATACACGTGAACAGCACAGAACAGAAAGTGAGAAATGCTATGAGAGATATATAAAATTTAGAGGAAAATTGAAGGAATCTTTCCAAATGGATGGTTTGATGCCTCTTTTAGAGGAGGTGGCATTTTAGCTCGGCTTGGAAGGATGAGCAATATTGAGATAAGGAAATTGAAATTTTTGCCCTTGAAAACTTTGTCTAAAGCTTTGCCTTTCTTTTCAGAGCTACTCTGTTTCTTTGAAGATCCTTTATTGATTTGTGATCTAGAAACTTAATGCTTATAGAGGGAGACTTCCCTAAACCTCTTGGTGAGGTTTTGGTGAACCTGGAAAAGGCAGGGTCTGCTTGTTTTAAGGCAGCCAAAATCCTTTCTGTTTTGGAAATTCTCAGGCCTCATTTTCATAGCAGAAACTAGTAGAAAAAGAAATGAGGGCATTAGCCTAAGTATCTGACTAAATCCTTCACACTTACCTTCCTTTTTCTTTTTTTCCTACTCCAAGCCTTCTCATTAGGCTTTTTATGAGCTGTATAGTGCACAGATAAATACATAAATGATACAGTTGAACATTCTAGGCAAAGTCCTTTACTTCCTGTAGCAGTAAACCTTTTGTTACTTTTTGCTTATGATTTTGCTTGTTATTTTTGCCCATGATTCATATGCAACTACTATGATAAACATCGCCTCACGAAAAGCCCTGACTTAAGCATTGTATTAATACAAGGTATCCATGTAACAAAAACTTGTAACCCCCTTAATGTTTTGAAAAAGAAAAATTGCCAGAAAATAGACCAGTTGCTTAAGTACTGTAGAAACTTTTTTTTTTTTTTTT